AAAACATGCCTCCTCCCTATTGTGGGTCCCCGAGTGTCTGGGTAAACAGAGGCTGGGTTGTTAACCTTGAAGTTGTTTTTATGGATGGACTTGGCAATCCCTTCGAGGCCTTTAAGCTCCTTTCTTTTGGCTTAAAGGTATTTCCTGGTTAATTCTCAGGTGTAGTTTGGACCTTAATAGCTCTGCCTTCCAGGTTACACCAGACCTATCTAACCTGTATCCTTTATTCCAAGTAGATTGGTAAGAAAATTCTCCCCTAGGGCCTTGCAGGGCAGAGGCAAAGAAGGTCACTTAATACAATCATGTGAACTGAGGGTCTACAACAACAGCGTACCTGCCCCTAAACTCTTCCCCCAGTCTGTCTGATGTGTCCTTCCATGAGACTTGCTGTGTTCTCCAAGGTACCTGTTAAAATACAATACCTGAAAAGGGGTCTCCCATGAACACTTCAGAAGGAAATGAGCCAGATGCATTAGCCAGTGACTGTACCTCAAACAGACTGTTGTTCAAGGTCTTAGAGGGTATGGTACACAAGTTGGGGAATTTTTTCTTTTAAGTATCAGGGAGGTGGTAGGGCAGGAAGTGGTAGTTTAAGGTCCTAGGCAGAAAGCTCTTTGTATGTGTGTGTGTGTATACACTTTATATTATATATGTTATATACATATACATACATATGCATACATATACATATATGTGTGTGTGTATAGACATATACTTTAAGTATGCATATGTACTGTTCTTTTAACCAAAACACTTGAATGAGTTTGTACCTGTGGGTTGACTCATCTCATTAATACCTTCATACTACAAATAATGAATCATTAGCTTTGAGAGGGACAGGAAATCAGAGGGCAAGTGGGGAAGTCTGGGCAGCTAAACTCTGGGGGCAGGAAGGCAGCAATTTATTTCCACATATAATTTACTCAGTACCTACTATGCATAAGGTATTTTGCTAGGGAACACAAAGATAACTCAAACAATCTCTATCTTCAAGAAGCTTACATTCTACAATGAACAATAGTTCTAAGGAATATATGAGTTTCTCCCTTGTCCTAAAGGTAGATAAAGGCAGGGAAATCATCATTACAGGCCTTGCTGCACTCTACACTCTACCTCTCCTCTTTCCTGTCCCACATCTCACTCCCTTAGATCCAGGCTTCATCTCCCAAGGGGACAACTGGATAATTTGAACTATTTATTATGCTCGCAGTTTAATGGCTGAAGGCAAAAAACATTCCTTAGCATCTTCCTTTTAGGTCCTAGGTTTCTCTTGAGCATCATCATGAGGGCTTCCCAGAGTCAGTATTGTTTAATTATTCTATTGTATTTTTATTAGTTTTCATTTGATATTTAGATCATCTGAGATCTCTGTGATCTGCCTTCCTCTACTAGTGCAGAGGATGGGTAGGTGACAGCTAAATGGTGCAATGGGTAGAACACTGGGCTTAGAATCAAGAAGACTCATCTTCATGCATTCAAATCTGGCCTCAGACATTTATTAGCTGTGTGACCCTGGGCAAGTCACTTAACCCTCAGTTCCTCATCGGTAAAATGAGAAGAAAATGGCAAACCACTCAAGCATCTTCACCAAGAAAATCCCAAATAGGGTCATGAAGAGTCAGATGGGGCAGCTAGATGGCACAGTGGATACCAGCCCTGGAGTCAGGAGGACCTGAGTTCAAATCCGGTCTCAGACCAGACACTTGACACTTACTAGCTGTGTGACCCTGGGCAAGTCACTTAACCCCAATTGCCTCACTAAAACAAAAAAAAAAGAGAGTCAGACACAACTGAAATGAGTCAATAACTAGTGTAAAGGCCAACCCTTCTTCTCCTCATCCTATGAGATTCCTAATTATATTTTTCCTGAAAATCCTCTAGAGAGGATTCAACCAATATCCTGTAGATCTTCTCCTACTTCATTCCACATTACATACCAATGAAGCACTCAGGGTGTCCATCTGTATTATCAGTCAATCAGTTAATAAACATTTATTAAGCACCTACTGTATGCCAGGCATCGTGCTAAGTGCTGGGAATACAAAAAACACAAAAGACATTCCCTGCTCACAGTCTAATGGGGAAGACAACATGCAAACAACTATGTACAAATAAAATGTAGACAGGATGATTAGGAGATAATAATAGAGAAAAGGTACTATTAACTTGGTGGTAAGTTTTGTTTTTCTTTTTGTTTTTGTACTATTAATTTGTATAAATGAAATAAGGCTAGGAGAGAGAATGGATCTGTGATTTCACAGATAAGAACTCCCAAATAAGAAAACTCTAAGTTAAATAAAATGATAAAAATATATAAACTTATGCAAATCAGGTTGATATAAAGTCTATCTTAAACATTTAGATGTAAAGTCTATCATTTAGAATCTGAAGAAATATAAAAGTTGTCTACTCCAACCCTGTCATTATATAGGACTAGGGAAAGTCATTTGCTGAAGGTCACACAATTAAGAAGCAATGGGGCCTAGGTCTTCTGACTCCAATATTTTGTCTCTGGCATCATACCCAGCAACATAAGACACATACTGTCCCTGAAGTTGAGGACTGCCTTAAGAGCAATGGAAAGGGCACATGGCGGGTGTGAGCTGGTAGCAACACATTAAAAACAAGGAATTATTCAGAAAAAAAAAAGCAGTGATAATTCAGATAAAAAAAGATAGGCATTAAATTTTCTCAAGTCTATCAAACTGTAGCTTTTCCTTTTTGTTTATTTCTCCATTGGATTTATCGAGCTTTGAAAGAGGAACATTAAAATCCTCTATAATTATCATAGTAAAAAAGAAAAGAAGATGGTCTGTGAGAGGCAGAGATAACCAATGGACAGCCACATGCTCTACTGATATTCTCTTTGTAACAATAACAACTGCTACTGAGCTCAGGGTGCTGGAGCAATCACCTTCTTCCTCTCCGCTGTCATACCCCTCTCAGTTCTGAATCCACACATGGTAGACTGGGTTCAAGCCTAGAGGAAGCTGGCTCTAAAGAAAGAAGGATCACACTTTTTCTTAAATTCTTTTCGTCTATTTACATTTCCATCCCAGGTCCCCAAGAAGAATCATTTAAAACTTAGGTTTAGCTCATGTATAAGGCCTCTCCAAAATAAGGGAATAGAAAGGAACCCCATATAAAATATAAATCAAGTGTAGACTCAGCTATTTATTTCCTTTACATGAAAGAAATGTTTTCCTGAGATTCAAAAATACACATTAACAAAGACTTAAACAAGGAGCGGGAGCTTATAACTACTGATATTTTCTCCTGAGAGTTTGAGACTTAAACATCAAAACACAGAACAGTTTGCAGAACTCTTGAATAGGCATTTCACCTATGACTCTGCACTGTCTCCCTCTAGGTTTATGTATTCTGTCAAGCTATGCCAGGATTTGAGCTCGTTTTTCTGAGAGTGATCATCTTTTTTTCCTTTTAAATAGCATTTTGTTTTTTCCAATTACATGTAAAGACAATTTTAACATTCTTTTTTAATAAAGTTTCAATTCCATATGTTTTTCCCTTCCCTCCTTTCCCTCTTCCCTAAGAGAATAAGCAATTTGATATAGGCTATATATATATGCAATCACGCAAAACATATTTCCATATTAGTCATGTTGCATAAGAAGAAACAGAACAGAAGGGGAAAAAACCACCAAAAAAGTAAAAATAGTATGCTTCGATATGTATTCAGACTCTATCAGTTCTTTCTCTGGATGTGGATAGCATTTTCCATCACAAGTCTTTTCGAATTCTCTTGGATCATTGTATTGCTGAGAAGAGTTAAATCATTCATAGTCCATCATCACACAATGTTGCTGTTACTGTGCACAACGTTCTCCTGGTTCTGGTCACTTCACTTTGAATCAGTTCAGGTAATTTTTTCCAGGTTTTTCTGAAATCCACCTGCTTGTCAGTTCTTATAGCTCGATAGTATTTCATTATATTCATATACCACAACTTGTTCAGCCATTCCCCAATTGATGGGCATCCTCTCAATTTCCAATTCTTTGCAGCGATCATCTTCTGCATAAAGCAATGTAGGAATCGCTGGGGTCTCCAAGTGAAGTATAACCAGCATCACTGAAAAACACAATAATGGGGCAGCTAGGTGGTGCAGTAGATAGAGCATTGGCCCTGAAGTCAGGAAGACCTGAGTTCAAATCCAGCCTCACACCAAACACTTGACACTTACTAGCTGTGTGACCCTGGGCAAGTCATTTAACCCCAATTGCTCTAAAAAAAAAACCACAATAACTCCCACAATAACTTCAGCTACTCTTCAAATACCCTTCTCAAGATCTCTGTTCTGTCACTTGTGATTAGGGAAAGAAACACAAAACAGAAGAGGCAGCCAGATACTTTCCTTGCCAAGGCCTTGCTCTTCGTAGTAGTGGCCATTTCTGCTGCCCACTTCTCCAAGAAGAGGCTAAAAGCATACTAACTTACTGGATAGATGGGAGGGGCGAGTAAGGAGGAGGGAATTCTGTCTTTCTTTTCAAACTGATGTAATGGTCCCACAGGACCACCCAGAGTGTGCTACATCATTCCAAACCACCAATTACTTTAGCACTGAGCCATAAGTATCCCCATAAATTGCCATGAGAGCTTTGCAGACCTCCATTGGATGACAATTGCCGTTTCAGCTCCAAATATGCTCCATGGGATGTGCAGCAATATAATCCTTGCTACCTCTAAATACCAAGAGAAGTAGTGGAAGGCCCCCAGCATATTGAGTGGAAACTTATGGGAGGACATGGACAAGAGTCCCATAAGATGTGTAGTTATGGATGGGTTATAAGCAGCATCACTGGAAGGAATGCACACCTCAATGAGATTACAGATTCAGCAGAGTATAATAATGCAATTTTCAAAAAAAAAATGTTCTAAGTATTATTACAAATGACTCTGCACCTTTAAAATACCACAAATACCAGATCATGGAATGCTACTAAGGAGGTTGTTATGGGGTGGGGGAGGGGGAGGAAGGAGGTTACCATGGCAACAAGGGGTATTTGAAGATGGGAAAGGCTAAAAATAAGTACTACCTACTTTATCATTTTGCCAGCTTCTGTCCCACTTAATCATAGACCTCAATACCTCAATACACTTTGCAGGCGCATAAAGAGGACTAACTGGTCAGTCATGGTAAAATACCTATTTCAGAGGGAAAGGTGCTGGCCCAGCAGGAGACAAGGTTTGTCACCATGGTAACCCTGCCACTAATTCTGCACATGATTTGGGTAAGTTGCTTTTGGTCTCTGGGCCTCAGTTTCCTCAGCAGTGAAATGAAGTTGGTCCCGAGGTTCCCTCTGGAAGCTTGCCCAGCCATTTGGGCAATTCTTTATTTAGCAGGAAGCATCCCCAGAGCCCTCCCCACCACTTCCCTCTCCTCCTTTCCCTTCCTCTGGGCACACTGAATCCAGACCTCAGAACAATGAACTGGAGCAGCCCCAAAACCAGTCCTGGCAAAACAGTTTTGGTTCTGAAACTCCTCTCTCTCTCTCTCTCTCTCTCTCTCTCTCTCTGTCTCTCTCTCTGAAGGGGACCATGTTACAGGAGTTGATCATCTCAGTGCTTAAGTAATCCCTGAAACACATACAGTGCTTTAGAGAATAGGAATGGTTATTCCCATTTGACTGATGAGGAAACTGAGACCCAGAGGGTGAACGAATGAAAAAGCCTTTATTAAGCCTTTAGTGTGGGTCAAGCACTGTGCTAAGCCCTGAGGCTACAAATAGACAATTAAGACAGTCCCTGTTCTCAAGGAGTGGTTCTAATTGAGGGAGATAACACATATAAGGAGGAGCAGATTGAGGGCAGGAGCAAAGACTTGGAGTCTGCAGGACACAGCAGAAGAGCAGAGGGTAAGGCATGGCTGTCATCCCTGCTTGGAATACTCGCCCTCCTCATCTCTGCCTCCTGGCTTCCTTTGAGTTTCAGGTAAAATATTACCATCTGCCAAAAGCCCTGCCCAATCTTTCTTGGTTTCCTTGGAGGTGACCTCCAATTTATTCTGCATATATATAGTTTGCACACAGTTATTTATAAGTTTCCTTCCCCCATTAGAATGGAAGCTCCTTGAGAGCAGAAAGCACGTTTGCCTTTTTTTGTATGCCTGGTGCTTAGTACTGTGCCTGGCACATTGTGGGGGATTCACAAATGCTGGTTGACTTGATTAGGGGTGAGAGAAGAGGATGCAATAGTAAGATATGAGGCAAAGCCCATCCTCAAGGTTCAGTGGTAGGGCAGATGGTAAGGCCTGGTGGTCTTCCATCTTTGCAAAAAGATTGTAGATAGTGACTTCTACTGTTAATTGAAGCAGGGTAAGGAGCCATGTCTGCCCTGCAACCAGGGACAGGTAGGGCTAAGAGCCGTTATCCCTGGGAAGTGGGAAGTGGGCCCAAGGTTAGAGTGGACCAGATACTTAAGGCTCCCTCCTTCAGGAGATTGGGATGGGGAAGGGGATGGCATCTAGCTGAGAAAATGGAAGGAGGCATTAGCAGGAAGGTTGGAGAGAAGAAGAGATTCTGGGAGGTGGGGCAGGAAATCCAGACAATGGATAAGTGAGCCAGAGAAGTTAAATTATTTGCCCAGGGTCAAAAATAAATAAGCAGCAAAGTGAAAGGTATAGCCCTGGTGCCTCAGCTCCCAGCCTGGCATTCTTTTCACCATTCAGAATAAGAGAAATATTTTCCCTTCTCTTTCACACCCACCCACAAAGATCTTTTTACGAAGCAGATTTGTTCTGTGAAGAGGGGCAGTACTTGAGGACCCTGAGGGTCATGTGTGGCTTTGAGGCCTGGCTCTCTACCCCTGCACTAGTCTATGAGTTTCCTAAGGTCATCTTCACCTCTAATGAACGTTGAACTACCCAAGCAAAATAGCCTCAGAGGCAGGATGCTCTGGAAGCCATGAGAAAATAGTTCCTCCGCAGATTCCTTTGTTCCCCCAAATACACAGCAACCTCCTGCTCTAGTCCTCTGTCGAGGTCCAGGAAGCTGCACTGCCCTCATTTCTCATTCTTCTTTTCCTACCAGGCTAATCTTCAACTCTCTACAACGGAATTTCAGAACTGGAAGAGATATCAGAGATCAGCTCATTTCCCCCACACACACATCCCATTTTAGAGAAGATAAAACTGAGGCCCACAGGAGAAATAACTCGCCCAAGGTCATACAGATAGCAAGCAGCAGACTGGGGATTTCTTTCTTTCTTTTTTTAAAGTTAGGCAAGCTGGGTTTAAGTGACTTGCCCAGAGTCACACAGCTAGAAGTATTATGTGTCTGAGGTCGCATTTGAACTCAGGCCTTCCTGACTCCAGGGCCGGTGTTCTATCCACTGCGCCACCTAGCTGCCCCTGGAGTAGGGATTTCTAACGCCAGATCCATGACTGATTCCACAATACCTCCGACAATATCAAGTATCAGTGTCTCTGGCTGGAACTGAGCTCATGGGGGAGGGGGGGAGTGGGCAATGTGGCATCTAAGTAGAGGGGCCAGGGGATATGACCAACCCTTATTCTCCACCTCCTACTCACCCCTCCCCCCTTTTAAATTCTCAGACCTCAAGGAGTCACCACGGAATTCCATTCTCCTGACAGCAAAGAAATCAAATCATTCTCGCCAGAACCCAGTTTCCCCACAAGAATGTTTGGTTGGCCTTTGTCATTGCGGAAGGAGCTGGGCTGATCCATTAATGGGTTTAACTCATTTATTGTCAGGACCCTGCCCTTCCCACCATCCTCCCAAACTCTGTTCCTGCCACTCAAGCCCTTTCACTCTCAATCTCTCCCACTACCCTCTTCTTTGCTTCTAAGCTTGCTTGGCCATGGCTCTTCCTAGCACACATGCCTCCGCTACTTCTCCAGAGTCATCTGAGTTTGAAAAGACCCTGGGAGAGAAGAGACCCAGGTTTTCCTGATGATATCTCCATGGAACCTTGGGAAAATCTCTTCACCTCTCTAAACCTCCGATGTTCCACCTATAAAATGGAGGTAGTCACACATCCTCCAAACAGTCACAAAATGTTGTTCCTGGAGGAGAGTCTTGACAAAATGCTATGATAGCTTACATTTACAGAGAGGTTGAAGCTCTACAAAACACCTTAAAACAACACTGAGGGAGTATGTTTATTTTCCCCATTTTACAGATAAAGAAACTGAAGGGAGAGGCTCAGTAACATCAGATCATGATGCTATTGATTTGGAAGGAATCTTAAGAGTCACCTAGTCCAGCCTTTTTGCATCATGGACCCCTCCTCGGATTAGTGAGTTCCTCCATTTTAAGGAAAGTGACCAGGCCATTCATGTTAACTCCCTTATTCCTCTCTGAGCTCTGCACCTAACTCTCTAGTGTTCTCTCTCCAACTGGCCCACAGAGGTACATTCTCTTTTTTGATATTCAGCTTCATTTATGAGTTGCATAGAATATGTGTGTTTATGTGTGTGTATGTATGTGTACATATACATATACATATATACATATATATACACATATATATGCATATATATACACATGTATATATACACACACACATATATATATATATATATATATATATATAGAGAGAGAGAGAGAGAGAGAGAGAGAGAGAGAGAGCGAGAGAGAGGGAGGGAGGGAGGGAGGGAGGGAGGGAGGGAGAGAGAGAGAAAGGTCCTTCAGGGCAGGGACCGTCTTCTGGCTCGTATTGGTAGTCCTAGTGCTTAGTACAACCTCTGGCACATAGTGGGTGTTTAATAAATGCTTCTTGACTGACTGGCACACACTAGTTGCTTTAATAAAAGTTTGTTGATGGACTGGCTAGAGATAGCATCCTTCTTATTAGCACATCCACAGCCTTCATCAGTGGAAAGAACACTCATTGGAACCAGGCTTTTATTGAATTCGGCCACTAACTTCCTGTTGAGAACTTCAGCAAGCATTTCATTCTTTTTCACACTTTCCTCTCCTGTAAGACAGAGGTGCTAATAATACTTGTATTTCTTAACGTCATTATGAGGAAAGTACTTTGTAAATGTTTAAGGCAGCTAATAGACATGAGTTATTATTATCACCTGCCTAGCTCCTGAAGACCTTGGACACACCACTTCATTTCTGGCCTCTATGTCTTCATCAGTAAAATGGGAATAATAATAATAATACCTTCCCTGCTTACCTCACTGGGTAAGGATCTGAGATAATGGGTTCATTCACCCAACAAGCACTTATTAAATTCCTACTTTGTTCATGGCACAGACTAGTGCTGAAGGAGGAAAAAAAAGTTTAGGCAAACACAATCCTCATGAAGATTGTAGACTGATATAAGGGGGATAAGACACAAATGTAGATAATCATAACACAGCTTTTGTTATTGTTGTTTAGTTGTTTTTCAGATGTATCTGACTCTATGTGACCCCTTTTGGGGGTTTTCTTGCTAAAGATACTAGAGTGCTTTGCATTTCCTTCTCCAGCTCACTTTACAGATGAGGAAACTGAGGCAAGCAGCGTTAAGTGACTTGCCTAGGGTTACAGAGTTAGTAAATATCTGAGGTTGGATTTGAACTCAGGTCTTCCAGACTGCAAGCCCAGCACTCTGTCCACTGTGCTATCTACCTCTTTAAGTGCATTAAAGAGGTATAAACAAAGGATTTTATGAGATCCAAAGGTGAAGGTCATTCCTACCTGGGGCGCATCAGGGAAGGCTTCATGAAGGAGGTAGCATTGTGAGTTAGACTTCAAAGGACAAATAGGTATTCAACAGGCGAAGGGGGAGAGAGAGATGACATTCTTGGTATGGGGAATGCCATGAACAAAGGCATGGAGGTGAGAAGGCTCATATTTGAGGGATAGTAAGTTAACCAGTTTGGCTGGAGTACATGGAGGACAGTAATATGAACAAAGTCTTCAAGTCTGGACAGGTAAGGGAGGACCATGTTGTGGAGGACTTTGAATACAGCAGCCAGAACATGGACTTTACTCAGGAGGCAATAGGGATCCACTGAATACTTTTGAGCACAGGAGCAACATAACCAGAACCGTTAATAGGCAAGAATATGCTAAGTGACAACTTGAAAGATGATTTAAAGGGGAGAGAAAGTGGAGACCGGAAGACTTGTTAGGAAGCTATTACAACAATAATAATAGCTAGCATATATTGTCCTTGCTATGTGCCAGTCACTATGCTGAGCACTTTACAAATATTGTTTTGTTTGATCCTTACAACAACCCTGAGAGGGAAATGCTATTATTATCCCCACCTTACAGAGAAGGAAACCGAGGTTAAGTGACATGCCCAAATTCACTCAGCTAAGTGTCTGAGGCTAGGTTTGAACTTAGGTCTTCCTGTCTCTAGGCCCAGCATTTTGTCCACTGAGCTACCTAATTACTATGAAGTCCTAATTAGGGCTCTTATTATGATAGCGTCAATGGCCTTTGTGAGGGGTTGTTAGTATTAGTATCATTAGGGCTCCAATGGGACAATGTATGACCTTGGACAAATCATTTCGAGTCCCTGGACCTTGGTTTCCTAGGTTTACATCTGTAAAACGAGTGTGTTGGACTAAATGCCTTTGAGATTCCTTCTAGCTCTAGATTCTATGACCTTGTGATTCTATGGCTTGGTGAGCGTTATTGGTGACTCTAAATTTGAAATCTATCAGATATAAGTCTTGGGTCTTTAGGTGCTAGAGTGAGAATGTTGGCAGAGGTACAGGGGGATGATACCGCCAAAATCAACACATAGCTGGTTCCCAGGATGGTTCCTTCCTCCTTCTCCTCGTCTCTGCTGCCTGCCTCTGATTCCTCCTCCTGTCCCTGCAGCTTGCTGGGAGTTGGGCTCAGAAAGAAATGGAAACAGAGCATCAGTAAGGCCTTGCCCCTTTTATTAGCAGTCTTCCGATGAGATTTGGGGGTGGTTGGTATATTTGGTTCCAGTGTAGCTGGAAGATTAGCTATGGTTTTGAGTTACTCAGACTCTTCCAAGTCTGCCTACAATGGGGACGATACTGAAAAAGGCCAGCCCCAGCAGAGAGAAGTGGAGGCGGATTTATTGCAGGAGGTGAGGTCATGAGAGATTTCTCACTTTGGGTCTGAGGATAGGGCCATCTGCTCTGTGATCTGCCTGCCTGGTGCTGGGGGACCCCTGCCTACAATGAACTCTCAGCTATCCACATACAGTTATCCACTAGTGAGGGGGAGCCAAGGAATGGACTCCACACTTCATCCTCCTGTCCCAGAGGATGAATTAACTGTCTGGCTAATTCAAGGCCCAAAACTCGATCTCAATAATACCTAGTTTCTAACAGGACTTTAAGGTTTACATGTTATCCCATCTGATTCTCAAAACAGCCCAGTTAGTTAGGTAGTGTTGACATCTCCATTTTACAGATGAAGAAACTGAGACTGAAAGACTTTAAGTAACTTGCCCAGGGTCTCACTCCTCACTGAGGCAGTATTAGAACTCTGGTCTTTCTGACTCTAACTTCTACATTCTTTCCACTCCACCACTACCTAGCTGACCCTTGACTCTTTAGGCAAAAGGAATTGATTTCCTACTCTTAGGCTGGCTCTCACCATTGAGCAGCACTCTTTTCCCTTCTTCAGGGCTGTCATACTTTCTTGGCTGTGGGCTAAGCATTAAGACAGGCTTAAGTGAATTCTTTTCCCAGACTAGACCAGCCTAGCCCATTCTGCTGTCCTGGGAAACCCCCAAATACCTACTCGTTATTTCTGATGCCTTTCCCTGGAGAAATCACCTGGGGCTGAGAGTTTTTTCCCTCCACAATGTTCTGAGTAAAAAGATAAGAACTTTTAGAAGTGAAACCTCTAATTCACTCACACACACACACACACACACACACCTGCGGAAGGGTCAGCAGCCAGCCCTGGGGCTTTGACCCCTCATCTGATCACAAGTCTCTGGGCGTTGCCAAGTAGATCACTTCACCTGTTTCCTCTGAAGCAGCATGATGGGAAGCTGAACTGTCTTTTCTCCCCACAAGTTCCTTCTGTGACTAAGGAGGAAACAGGCCTCAGAAGCACCCTCTACTGGTATCTCCCTTCTGCCCATAAACTCTCACTTTCCTCCTTTGGCTATCGTCCGACAGAGACAGAGGAAGTATGGAAACCTTTTAGATAGAATCATTTCATTCATTTTCTGTAAGACACTGTGCTAAGCACCAAGCAGGCAGGCAGAGTGACCTGGAGCCGGTGAACTGGTATTATAGAGAATTATAGAACATATGGTCCTTGCCTTCAGAGAGCTGCTGATCAAAAGAGGAAAGATGGACTGAGCATACACAAAAACATAAAAACTCTTAGAAAACATTATTTCACCAAATGGAATTGAATATAATTTATTTTTTTCAACTAACAAGCATTATGTTTTTTCTCCCACCTTTCCCTTACTCCTAGTTGAGAGAGAGAGAGAGAGAGAGAGAGAGAGAAGCAAATCAAGTTCAGCAAACATTTATTAAATGCTTATTTGGTACCAGGCATTAAGCTAAGCACTGGGAATGCAAACAGAAACAAAGACACTCCCTGCACTCATCGAGCTTACATTCTGATGGAGTAAGATACTTGTGAAAAAAGCAAACTAAAGGAGGGGTAGGTAAGGTGAAGGTGACTTCATAACATCATGATGAAAAAAGAAGTCCAGAGAGTCAGGCAAAGCTCAGAGAAGAATAAAAGAGTGAATGTGGGTTTGGACCTATTTCTTAAAGTAGAGGTTCCAGGAGGGACTGAACAATCAGAGGAATTGTCCCAAAGAAGAGGAGGGATCTTCCAGGATGAGAAAGTTGCTGGAGCAGTGTGGTTAAAGCAGAAATTTTGAAGAATGAGCTGAAAGAAAAATAAAATCATCTTGAGAAATATTTGTAGTCAAGCAAAGCAAATTCCCACATTTGCTATGTCCAAAAATGTACATCTCATTCAATGCAATTAAATATAGAGCCAACCACATCCATGAGTATGAGTAACTGAGGCATCAGAGTCAGGTAGGGGTAAATCTGGGAAAACTTTCTCGAGTTAAGGGCCAAGTTTTATAGTAAGGCAAGTAGCCATGTGGCATGTCAGAAAAAATGACTAAACTCAAGTTAGGAGACTTGGTCTTGAATCCTAGCTCCGATCAAGGACTCTGAGATCAAGAATAAATTTCAAATTTCTCAGTTTCCTCACCTATAAAATAGGGGGTGATGAGGTTTAGAATCCCTGTCTCTCAAGGTTATTGAGAAAGAAGTGCTTTGTAAACATTCAAGTGCTACCACATCTGTGTGAGGGGTTATTCTTCTAGGTGGGGAGAACCATGGATTGGTGACCAAAAGGAGGGAGCCAAACTGAAGGGCCTCTTCCCACCTGGTTCAACCTCCATGGCCACTTAATCTCTATGAGTGATTTCATGCTTTGCTGCCTCCCTGAATTCCCTGGGTTCAGTATGATTCTATATTGAATCATAGAATCACTGAGCTGGAAAGTACCCAAAAGATCGTCTCATCCAACCCCCTCATTTTACAGGTGAGGAAACTGAAGCCTAGATAGAGGAAGTGACCTAAGAGGCTATGTGATATGATATAGAGAGGCCTACACTTGGACTTACAACAATTGAGTTCACATCCAGGGTGTGATGCTTAACCAAATTTGTGGTCATGGACAGCTTAGCAATTGTGAGTCTCTGTTCCCTCATCTGTAAAATGGAGGTAATATTTGTAGGACTTAACTCACATAGTTACTGTAAAGAAAATACTACATAAATGTCATAGGATCATGGACTCAGGGCTGGAAGGGACTTTGAAGGCCATCTATTCCAACCCCTTCATTTTAAAGATGAGGAAACTGAATCCCAAGGGCCACTGACTGAACAGAAAAGCTAGCCTGGCTGAAGCAGCAAGTCACCCCAAGAAAGCAACAGGAATCAGCGCATACAAGGGAAGTCAAACCTTTATCACCACCTTGGCTATCTACTAATAGCTCAGGACCTTGAGCTCAAGAGCCCCAGGAATAGCAGCCCATCCACCCACAGCCCATGGATCAAGGGAGCAATTTTTGTGGAGACACAACCTAACACCTTCCTCTGTAGATGCTACAGCAGCACCCCTCCCGTCTCGTCAGCAGCCACAGCTACTGAAGTCATGGAAAATAAATTTCTAGCCAGTCAAGTACTTGGCACCATCAAATGGGTCTCCATCAGAACCAGATATGGTTTTGTCAGTGGAAATTTCATTAAAAAAGAGACATTACCATCTGCTATGCAGCTACACCCTAAGAATCATGGGTTCTTTCCATCTGACTTGCAGCTAAAATACACATGTATGTTATCTCCCCCTTAGAACATGAGTTCCCTTGAGAGCATGTACTCCCATTGCTTAGCAGTCCTCTGCCCAGACAGAGCACTCAATAAATGCTTTTTTTTTTTTCATTCATTCAAATTATAGGATCACGGGACCTCAGAAGCCATCTAGTTCAAACCACCTCATTTTACAGATGAGGAAACTGAGGCTTAGAGAGATTTAATGACTGGTAAGAAGCAGGGCTGGGATTTGAAGCCAGCCTACTTTCCACATTTAGAGGAGCTTCTGCTTGCCCAGCCCAGTACTGTATCCACTATATGAAGCACTCTCTTTCTTTCCCATAGATTCCTGCCATAAAATCTGCACTATACAATCTGACACTCGTTCCTATGCTCTGCCTTCTGTTCTCTAATTATTACCTCTGCATTATTCTCATCTCTCCAAATAGACTATAAAATCTTAAAGGGCAGTGGCTGTCTTATGTTTGCTTTGTTCTCCTGTGATATCTGTTATAGTGCTGGGTACACTGCCATGAGTAGTCCAGGAAGGCTTCATGAAGGAGGAGGGCCCTCAGCTGGGCTCAGAAGTGTGGAGAGACTTTCCAAAGGTGCATTTGTATATACCTCTAAGGCTGCATTGGCACTAGCTGAGTGGCCTGGGCCTGAGAAGTTCTGTCTTGCACCCAGCTATATTCTTATTCTTGGAATCCACCCATCCCTCAGGTCCCAGGCCTTCAAGGAACAGAACTTAGAACTCTAGCCCTGGTTTCTTGGGCTGGTGAGTTCTGGGGACAGAAACCTGCTCACCCGTTGATATGCATTCTGGACTCTACAGCACACACACAGACTTGCCACTTCATTGCTGCAGGCCCCGGCATAGGGAAGAGAATGCCAGGTAAGCAAAACCTGGACTAACCCTGGTCCTCTCAATCACCCTGCACAGGGTGCACTCCTCTCCAACCACCTTTTCCAAGACTTAGAGGGGGTGCAGGCAGTGGAGGGCCAGACTGCCTACAAGCGAAATGTGAGCTTCTCTTGGAAAAGGGGCTCTCTTTTCCTCCCCACGTTGAGAGGTGGATCTGAGAGAAAGGAAGAAAAAAAGAGAATGAAGGCACTGATGATGGGTTCTGGCAGGAAAGGGGAGAAACCCCAAGAGGCAAAGGTCCCGCACATCCTTGTGCCATATGGGGGCAGCCTGAGCAGTTTTACTTAGTTTGGTTTCAATAAGGTCCCTTTTGTTTCCCACCCTCTGAGCAGACGGCAAACCCTAAACGCCTGCCCTCTTTCTCCCCCATCCAGCTGTTTTCCACACATTCCTATCAGAGGCACACTCTGAGAGCTGGCCTGACAGACTTCTCACCCAAGTCTCCCCTGGCCAGCCCCCTCCTCAGCCTCAGCACCTTTCAGGCCCTATTTCAAAGCTCCATTTTGCCCCCCTCTAAGACAAATGTCCCCCACACCTAGAGGTGGGAAAGGGAAGATGGGAGGTGGGGCACACTTCACAGCAGGGGAACTCATTCTGTGCTCTAACACCCAGTTGAGAGGAGGGGCTGAGGATTACTGTTCCCCAGCATCTGGCCACACAGCTGCCACACATCAGGAAGAAAAAGAGGGAAGCTAATGGGGGGAGGAGAGAAGGGTCATTTAACTTGAGAGCCACTAATATTACTATATCATCAGTATTGATATTATTGATTATTATCAAAACAGTTAATGATATGATAGCATACAAATGCTTTCTGTCTGATAGAATAAGTGAGTCCCAAGAATTTCAGGAACTTAAAGGGAGAACAGAAAGTCTTATTCTCAGCATTTCATTATTTAGTGGAAAGAGTACAAATCTGGACTCCAGTCCTGGTGCTACCGATTACCAGCTGTGATTTTAAGAAAAAAGCCAACCGATCGATCAACAAGAATTTACTAAGTTAGGTGCAAGGGGAAGAGGAAGAGGAAGAGGAAGAAGAAGAAGAAGAAAAAGGAGGAGGAGAAGGAGGAAAGAGAAGGAAAAAAAGAAAAAACTGAGGGAGGCTAGAGAGCCTAAGAAGCAGAGGGAAAGAGAGATTACATTCCAGGAATAGGAGATAGTCTGTGCAGACATAGACATGGAAGATGGTCTAGTTTGAATGGACTATAGAGTTCATGAAGGTAGTAATATGCAATAAGTCTGAGCAGGTAGACTGGAGCCAGATTGTGAAGGGCTTTAAATGCCAAATAGAAAAGTTTGTATTTGATCCTAGAGGCAATAATGAGACAAGTTCTGAGCCAGAGACCATAGAATCAGCCTGAACCAGATTAAAATGTGATTGGGAAATATTTGACAAAATAAAAATGCAATAAAACATAGATAAAATCAATATGCAGTTTTTAAAGTCAATATGTGGTGGGTATATGTCCTCTAGCAGACCTCAAAACTCTTTATTTTACTTATGAGGCAACTGAGGCCCAAGGAAATTGAGCTACTTGCTTAAGGTCAAATGAGAACAATAGTCAAAAGCAAGAGTGACATAGGCAGACCTGTGCTTTAGGAATTTCACTTGAGCAGTTGTGTAGAGTATGGATTAGAGAGGAGAGATACTGAAAAGGGAGGCTCAGTTTCTTCATCTGTAAAATGGGAGTAGTAATCCTTTTCTTGCCAACTTCAAAGGATAGCTGTGAAGAAAGAGCTATGTAAATGTAAGTTTTTTACTCAGGTGGAATGGGTTAGGAAATGAGCAGAGGTTGAAGCCAGAATTGGGTTCCTTCTAGCCACCCAGCTCTCTAGGGCTAAGGCAACCATATTTTGCAAACCAGGCCACATGGTCTGACAAAAAAAAAAAAGGCAAATACATATTCCTGTTGCAAAGCCCCATTAAAAGCATACTTTATTTTCTTTCAGAGAGGGACTGTTCCAGTTTCCCAAGGTTCCAGATTCAGCTAAGCAGGCATGGAATTGCGAGTCCAGAGTTCTAGCCAGGGATGAAAAGGAGGGGATGGATCTGAAGAGTAGTTCTCTAGTCCTCTGATGAGGGAGGAGAGAAGGCTCAACTTTAAGAGCCCTCAGAAGAAAGAGGAGTGGAAAAGGAGCTGAAAAATTCACCAGGAATGTAAGACCAGAGGCTTGAGTTTTATTCCCTGTGCCTCTGTTTATTCTGCTCAATCACTTCCCCCATGGGAGTCTATTCCTGGTGTCTCTGTATTTCCTATCTACTTATATCTGCATATGTTGTTTTCCCCATAGAATCCAATCTCCCTGAAAGCAAGGAATATTTCCATTTTTCTTGTCTTTGTATGCCAACTCCAACACAAGGCTATCCTATGCACTTAGTAAGCACAGTGAAGGGCTCGTGGGTTGATTTGTAAAATAGGCTAGAGAAGTGTCTCTTTCCTAAGGGCCGGGGAAGCCAATCAACCTAAGGTGTTTTGCCGCGTGCAAAGGTCACCTCCTTCTCCTTCAATACTTGTCTGAGACCCAGGTGTTTGACGGCTCGGGGGAGCTGTGATGTACAGTTGGTCAGAAGGGCTGGGTTTTATGTCCTGCCTCTCCTTTCCAACTGTGTTACCTTTTTGAGCCACAATTTCCCCATCTGTGAGATGGTGATACTAATATGTCGGATATCGCGTCACCCTCATATGGAGTGTCCCGAGAATCAAGTAAGATCACGCGTGGAAAGCCAGCGCTCTGTACACGCAGATCCTTGTCCTCATTTTCCCATTGGATCTGAGAATCTCAGGGTTGGAAGGAGTTCTAGGGCTGCGTTATTTTGCACAGCCTGAGCCGGAATCTCCTCTACACCACTGGGGACGTAAAGAGGTGCAGAAAGGAGAAGCTGTGTGTGTTCCAGCTTAAAGGGAAAGGGCGGTAGCGGAGAAAACGAAGTCTGTCCACTTCCCAATTCTGTCTCCCGTAACAAGTAGATTCCGAGACAGAAGACAGACAGAGGTGGGAAAGGGGAGGAGGAAAAGGGGAAGGAGGAATAGTGGGAGGGGAAGAAAAGGGGAGAAAAAAAGAGAGTGTGTGTGTGTGTGTGTGTGTGTGTGTGTGTGTGAAAAAGCGTGCGTGTGTGTATAGTGTGCAAAGAGGGCGGGAGGCACAAGGGGCCACACAGCTGCTCCAGCCGCTTCTCCCAGCCCCCTGCTGAGGACCCACGTGAGACTGGGGCGGGGGAGAGACTAGGGAGGGACCGAACTAGACCTGGGGGCGGAGCCCCAGCAATGCGCCCCATACACCCCAGCAGACCCAGAGACAGCTTTAATGGGAAAGAGGCGGGACCCAAGCCATAGACCACCCCCCCCAAGAGGCGGAGCCACGAGAAAGGAAGTATTAAATAAGGGGGTTCTGCCTACTGCAGGCGGCTAAAAGCTGCTGCAGACCAAGCTGGAGCGTCAGAGACAGCTAGGGCTGGGGGCTGGCTGGGGAAGCTAAGGTAGGGGAACCTAGAGCTGGAGGACAGGCGTTCCACGATAGTTCCTGAGAGGTTCCCTGCGTTACCATCGCCTCATCCTGTCCTCCTGCTCCCTCTGCCAAGCTACCGGGGTGACTGGGAACTGGATCGCCCTCGGGGAGCCCCTCCAGTTGTGTGCGCACATCGAGCCAGCTGTGCCTTGAGCCGAGGCGGCTGGAAGATGCTCAAGGGCTGCGGCCGCCGCTTGCTCCTGTCCTTGGTCGGAGCCCTGCTTGCCTGCCTCTTGGTGTTGACGGTGGATCAGAGGCAGCAGCTGCGGCAGCGGTTGCCGCCGCCGCTGGAGGAGGAGCTCCCGGGGGGCGAAATAGGACGTCGAGTCCTGCAGAGCCTTGCTGGTCCCAGCGAACCCCAGGGGCAGGGACCACCGCCTCCGCCGCAGCCCCAGGAGGAGCCTGCCGCCTCGCTGGCGGGGGCGTCTGGCCCCTCCGGCGATGTCCGCAGCTTCTCGGAGTATTTCGGCCAGCTGAGCCGAGCTAGGAGGGACGTAGGGCCCCTGCCTGGGGCGGCCCCAGCCCGCGAGAGCGTCCCCAGGCCCCAGATGGAGCAGCTCTTCCCTAGAGACGTCTTCATCGCAGTCAAGACCACCAAGAAGTTCCACAGATCCCGACTGGACCTGCTGATGGACACCTGGATCTCCAGGAATAAAGAGATGGTGAGTTGGTCGAAAGATTCCGTCACTTTCCTTGGACCCCAAAACATTAGGATACAGGTACCACACCCTCCAATCACCCCCACACACACACCAAAAAAAAAAATCTGGCAGAGGAGCTCCATGCTCTGTCTTCATTTCTCAAAGTACAGGAAGCGGGGAAACACCTTGTTCAAAGCAAGGGGAAATCTTGCCTCTTCCAAACACTTAAACATTCAAGGGACGAAATTTTATTCCATTTTTCTTATTAAGGGAGTCATATTTTTCTTTTCTCTCCTCTCCCTCCCCCACAAAAAAAAAGGGACCTAGAAGGGAATATTTTTCTCCCTTCCCCTCAAAACCTCCAAAAAATGGCCCGGGATTGATGTATCAATCTCCCTTCAACATTCCCTATCTCAGGCATGAGGGACAATCTGGGCCCCAGAGGCATAAGGCCCGGCCTTCCGCCTGGCAAAGGTAAGCGGGCCTCGGTGCCAAACTATGCCAGGGATGCGCCGAGTCAAGTGCCGGGACCTGTTGGCGAGTGGCGGCCCGCCCGCCCGTAGGGCCCGTCTCCTTCTCCGCTCCACCCCCGGACACCCCCCTCTTCCAGCCAGACACACTTCAAGCCTCCGCCGCCCGCCCCCGCCTCTGCTGCACCCGGCTAGAGTGTCTCCCTAATTCCTCTGGGGGTGGGGAGGGAGTCTTAGGGTTAACGCTGCTGAGGGGTTTGAATGAGATACAATCTCGGGAGCAAAGCTTTTCACTTGGTAGAGGGGCATGTTGGCCCAGAGGGGTGGATGGCACCTCAAACGACCGCCCCCGCACATGTGAGATAGTAATTTTATCGCAGGTGTTTTTTAAGATGCCAGCTTCTCTCTTCACCCCCCCCCATATTTACCCCAACGCAGATGGAAAAACAGAGCTCCTTCCCCGAGGACCCAGCTAACAGGCTTAGAGGAAAATCTGATCCTCCTCCACCCCACCAACTTAGTCTTGTCCCCCGACTCTGTCTCACCCTTGGGGTGGCCCAAGTGCCCTGAGGAAGGTCAGCTTGGTCTCCAGACTTGGAAACTGCCGGCAGGCAGCCAAGGCAGCGGAATGAATGAAGAGCTGGAAGCCCTCAGCCACCTTCGAGCTGGCTTCAGTCCTCTCTTCCCACCCCCTAGAGGCAGCATAAGAGAGGGCAAGACAAAAGCCTCAGCGAACCCTTTTCCTTTGGTTGCCTAGGGGCGCCTCGGGCGTGGATGAGGAGTCTTAGTTGGGCAAACTGATTATAGCCCGGATTTTGATTCTCGTTCTTCGCTTCCTACACTCCTAAGAGTGTAAGTGTCCCCAGAATGTTTTTCTTTTGGGGGGAAATGGGTACCCCCTGGGCTTAAAGACCCTCCCCCAATTTTTTTTCATGTTCTTGAAGTAAAGCCCCAAACCCATGGCTAAGCTTGTAAGTTGTAGAGAACGGTTGTTAATCAGGCAGGGTTTGTCATGATTGGCTTGAGAGGTTTGAGGGAAGGGAAGCAGCATAGTATAAGCCAGGGTTCGAGTGGAGACTGGAGTCTGGAAGACCTGGGTTCAGTGGGCCCATGGTTACATGGTTAAGTCGCTTAACCTTTCTCCAAGCCTCATCCATAAAATGGTGATAATAATACCTGCCCTTTCTACTAGGGCAGGCCTGTTTTCACGAATATACTGAGAAGTCTGTGAAGGCTTTGAAATTTTAGTGTTATGTTAATGTTAGCTATTGTTAGTGCTTCTCTGGTATTCTATCTTGGCTATTGAGAGCTTTGAATTAGGTCCTAAAAGGCCCCCCAGGGAACTCTACCTCCCCTTGGTGGAGAAGCACAGGGCTTCCATCTCTAAAGTTTCTGGTGACCCCAGGATAGGCATACAGACATCCTACCAGGGTGGAGAGCCCAGCCAGGTACTGGTAGCAAAATAATGTCCAGATAACTGCTGCTGTCACAGGGCCATTAATTAAGCTGTGTGGCCCTGGACAGATCTCTTGGCTTTTCTAGGCCTTCATATCTTCATCTATAAGTAAAATCAAGTCCCTTCCAAAGCTGAAATTCCTAACCTCTGGCCACAACATGGGTTGGGGTGGGGGAATTCAGTGGTCCTGTCAAAGTTTGATCCTCTCATTTTTATATGAGTAAATCAGGACCAGAGAATGGGAGTGACTTGAGTAGGTTGAAGTGGCTAAAGATTTGAACCCAGGTCCTCTGACTCCATGTATATCTTGGAGAGAAATCAGTTAAAGAATTAGGGGAGCGGTGAATGGGAAGAATTCACAGAATTACAGAATTTAAGAGATGGAAAGGGCTACATTGGCATCTAGTCTTACCTGCTATAACACAACCAACAAGTGGCCTTCCAATCCTTGCTTGGAGAACCTCAAAAAGAGAGAATTAGCTCCTTCCTCCCCTCCCCACTTTGGGGATGGCAGACCTTGAATGGTCTCACTTACCCTTTCTTACAGCCCCCAGCCCCATGGCTGTCATTTTCCCACCAGAGCTTTTCTTGGGACATAGATTAGTCCAGAGTGAGGAGTCCCCCAGCTCTCCACATCAGAAGACGGCAAGCTGTTACCTCTTCCCTTTCCCCTTCTAAACTAAAATAGACAGATGGAAATAGTGGCATCAGAACAGGGCTTTCCACAAACTATAGTCTGTGTCAACTAGCATGTACTAGGAAGAGTGGACGAGGGTGAGAAAGGCTTAACTCTAAGAGGTGTGTGTTTGTATGTATGTAGGTGTTTTTAAGCATGCATGTTATATCCCTCAGTCCCTATTGCTTCGTTCCCTGGAATGGGCCTTAAGACAGGGAGGGAGGGAAGGGTTTATGAACACAGCCTTCAATCCTGTGGGCACTTAGTGTGCCTAGTCTTTGGTCATCCTGAGAATGCTTTGGTCCCTTTTCTCAAGGGCTGAAGCTTTCTTGAGGGGTGGGTATATGGGGGGGGCTCTAGAGAATGCAGTTTTTTTGTTTCCTCTGTCCTGGCTGTTTGGATTCCCAGAGTCCCCAGGCTCAGCTCTCACGCTGTCCCCCCTGGGCAAGTTAACAAAGCCTCTTTCTCTGGGCGCAGAGAAAAGGCGTCGTGCCTTCTTGTGTGCCGCTTGCCATGGGAACCCGGGAGCTCCGAGCCCCAGTGTCCCGGTCAGGTTGCCTAGAGATAAGGGGGCCTGGCAGGCCTGGGAGGGGGGGCCGTTGGCGTTCCCAGCATCCCTGCTGGGCCCCACTGAGTGACAACCCTTCTGAGACCCCTTGAACTTGAGGGACAGGCGTTTGGGGGAGAGTTGAAGCTGTCAGAATCCCCCCAGGCTGGCCTGAGAGGAGAGCGTGGGCCAGAGGGTGGGAATCATCCTGGCTCTCCACACTGACCTGGCCTTTAAGCCAAGAACAGTGACCTGGGGAGGGGGGAGGGAAGATGGCAGTGGGGGGTGATTAGGGAGGAAGGAGGGGTTCCAGGAAAGGGCTGACAGGCTGCTTTTGTTCCCCTAGCTTCTCTAAGAAGGGGCAGCAGGCGTCCTCTCTCAGCCTGGGAAATGGGGATCCCTCAGGCTCAAATGAAAGAGCTGAGAGCTGGCTTGTAGATGTGTGGATACAGCCCTCACACAGGTCCCCAGTAGCCTCTCCTTTTAAGGTCATTTACCTAGTCCTACCCTATCCAGTCAATTGGCCAAGTGTTATGATTCTAATCAAGTCATCCCTTCACTCTATAATCTTCAGTGGTTCTGCAGGGCCTACTAAATAAAATAGAATCTCCTGATGTTGGAAGTGCCTCACAGACGGGCTCCAGCCAGCTTTTCCAAACTTAAAGCACTACATAAACTTGAGACATTACTCTTGTTCCCTCTTCTTACCCAGTCTGCTCTTGTCTGTGCCTGGTGTCACTCCATCTCCTATGCTTGAAATGGATTCTTCCCTTGCTCAAACACCCATCTACATCTGGGATCCCCCCTCCTTCATCAAGCCTTCCCTACTGGTCTTTTCCTTTCCTATCCTCCCACCCTAGTCCTAGCTAAAGTGATCTCTCCTACCTAAAATTTCTCCTAGCACTTTGCCAGGGTCTTTACTTTGTATTTCTGTCTCCCTTATAGCAGAGTTATTTGTGTGTGTGCTGGATTCCCCTCTGCAGCTACCGCTTTAACCCACCATGAAATTGTAAACTCTTTGAGTGTAGGTCTATATTTTACCTGCAGCCACACAGTGACTGCAAAATGTTTGTTAATGGATGGTGTCTCGTTGAATGAGGAAACAGGCCCAAGAACATTAATTAGTTGACCCAAAGTCACACAGGAGCATATTTGCCAGGTTTCCAGTCCATGGAGGATGGATCAGTCTAGTGTTACTTTGAGGAAGGGGCTTTTCACAGGGGTGATATGGGTAGCTCTGAGAGGGACAGAGGCATCCAAGTTGGAGAGGAAGTGGGCAGGCCCAAGCAAGCAGCATCAGTTTTGCTTTCTGCATGATTCTACCACGGAAGCATAGGTTGGCTCGATCACCATCTGTCCTCTTCCTGTTCTGCTCATAGAGCTTTGGCCCTGCTTTAGGTAACAGGCTGTCATCTAAATGGCAGAAAGACCTGATGATCCATCTGTGTGTGTGTGTGTGTGTGTATGTAAGCAAGGTGAATTATGTTTAGGGAGATGTTGTGACCCCCTTTCCTTACCTCCCCCAAAACCCCACACTCAGTAAGAAAATCTGCCAAGCAAGCCTGACATCCTGGGGTTTGTCTGGCCTACTTGAAGGAGGTAGCCTCCTTTCTCATGTAGCATTCAGGCAGACAGACAGGCAGGCAGGCAGGGAAGGGAGAGAATGCATAACATCCCTTTATCTCTCCTCTTTGGAGAGAGTTCCTATATCCTGGGTTTGGTGCTTAAACAAAGGGGAGGGAGAGTATAAGAATTTTCAATGGAAGAGCAAGGATAAATATAAACCCTACGAAGAAAGGGTGAATTCTGAACTGGCTCAGGTATACTGGGTTACATTTTTTAAAAAATAGCTCCGGGCTTAGGTCACTACAG